CACATACCTACTGAGCTCGTTCAGTCCGTTCATATCATTTACAGCTCATATGCCTAAAGTACAAACAGAAGAGCATGTGTCTGAAGAAGCTTTTGCAGATCTATCGTAGCACTCTTTCCGGCCGGAGTCTGAACTACTTACTCCTTTAAAATTCGGACGGACGAGCCCTTTGTAGGTTAGTGACAGCTTGAAGACGTACAGGTGTCGTTTTCAGCTGCGAAGCCAACCGAGATGCTTCGACATCAACGAAAAAATTAAAACAACGACGACGATGAAGCTAAATGGGTAGCGTCAATCGTGAATCCAGACAGGAACTCAGCTGCACGTCCTTCATACGTGTGTGAAAACGTGAAGTAATGAGCACTATACTTCTCTGGCCACATTATCGATCTCAGTACAAAAAGTTAAGTAGCCCTTTTTCCGCTAGCGAACGTGTGTTGTGATCTTAGCATTTGCTAAAACATCAGTACGTGAAACGAGCCGTTCTAATTAGATATAAAAAGACTACACACATTAATAAGATGTTGGTTTTTGAGTTACGTACGTCTTACGCGATACTGAAAACTTACCTTCTAGCTAACTGTAGCTCTAATGAAATTCTAGGTTCATTAGCCAATCAGAGATCCTCTTCGCTAAATCCGTCAATAACTTCCATTTTCAATTGGAACCGTCACTTATTTATTTGTGCGATCTTTATATACAGTAAACTATTTTGATGAATCTAAAACTTTGGCGACTGCGCTTGTTAAACTAGAAAAGTAGTGCTATTTAACTTAACAAAAAAAAAACTTCTGCGACTGCTACGAAATCGCGAATCGGTGTTAAGGTCCTTCGTGTTATCTCTGATCGTCGGGCTGCAAAGGGGCGCAGTAGGATTTCATAGCGTATACAGGTAGAACTACAGATAACGTTTGCGTTTTCGATATAACGTACAGTTACCGGATCTTTCCGATCTTTTCTCGAACTGTTTAGTTCTATTACCATCTATGAATCATTTTTACGCTAGCATGCCTAATGATAGATACATTTTATAGAGTTTCCATAGATAATTTCTAGAAAATATACCTAATTTTTACTTTTAGTATTCACAAATTCGTCTCGGAGATATATATATGTATATATCAACCACTATAAGCTTGGCACATCTCAGACGCATTACAAACAATTAAATACTTTTCATAATAAAATAAATTATTTTCAGTAGTATCAGGTGTTCTCAAAATAGATCTGTCAGGTAACCTGACGTGTCATGCGAACCTATGATCCCAGATAGCTTTTGCGGTCAACGCGTCATGGCAACGCTTGACCGCTGGTAGCGTTCCCGATCTTCTGAAGATATGGTGCCGGCAGCGTATAGCGATGGTCTAGCTTATATGTGGCCTTTCTCAACAAAATATAATAAATTAGGGTTATCTGGTGACGTTGCTTCCTGACATTTCCGACTCCGCCACAAAACAGAGTAAGCTTCCGAAAAAAAAAAACAGCAAGCTATGTTTTGGTCATTTTACTAATCTCCGTACGTATCACCGTTTCGTTCAGTCAATATTATTTCATTTAATTATACAAAATTACCTAGATGACTCGAGCTCGCTTCTACGACATTTGCTAATTCTATTGCTCAAAATATTGTCGTTTTTATTTAGAAAGGTTGGCTAACTTCATCCTAATAGGCTAACTCATGTGTGAAAAGATAGGCAGCTATGCTATTGCCAAGGTTATGGGGTAACAAAGCTATCACGCCAACCCTTCATTCAAATTTGTTTCGGTGCCTATCTCTCCCCGAGGCGTTGGTCATCCTTAAATTATCCCTATGCTAAAACCAAGCATGTCATACGTAGGCACATGCGAATAGAGATAAGACACGAACGAGACCCAAACGTTTCGGTGTGACCCGTTTGATGCCGACCATCCGTAAGTGTTTTAGAAAAAGGATAGAAAAAATCGCCGCTTTTTAAAACCCAGTAAATTTCTCGTGCAGAGTCGTAATTAATTTAGTTTACACGTTTTGAAGGGCGAGCAAGCCCAGCTAAGCAGAGCTTCAGCCGGGCTCTGTCATTACAGATTCGGTTATTAAGAGCGAAAAAAAAAAGGCATCCACCTTTGCTAACAAGTGCTCGTCGTCGCCTGAGGCCCTGGTGACCTGACTGCGTCACTTTGTCGTCGTTAAATTCGCTAACGAGGAAGTGTAAGGCTATTTATTAACGCTCGGCCAATACGTTTACACATCAGGAATAGAATAAACGGAAACCCATAACTGTACATTTCGATACGGTGGTTCGCGTCATGTTGCGTCCAACGTTTCGAAGATCCATGCTATCGAGCAATTGCAATCTATTTTATTAATCGAGATTATATACGACGCTCAGTTAGTGGGGCGTTTAGACTTATTTCCAATAAATTACGATAGTCAAACCTACGCTCATTAAGGACATGGCCTCGATGCTGCCAAGATGGTGTACCTAGTACGTTTTTGCCATAGAGTGCGCTCCAATGCAATGGTGAAAGTTGTTCTTTTATAGATGAGCGTCGTAAAGTTTGCAAGTTTCAGTGGCTTAAGCCGACAAAAAGTCGCCTTCCGTCCCTCGATGCCGTCTCAGAGTCTACCGTATGTCAAACGAGCCGACGCATAAAAGGGTGTAAAAGCTATATAGTTTTTACGCGTTTCAAATCAGCGACTGGATTTGACACTCGACTTATGACCACTAGCTGATGTGACCGTCTGTAAAACTTTTTATAAATTTACGTATTTTGACGTCATTATCGAACGTGACGCTATTAAGGAATTAAATTATAAAAACAGTAATTTTGTCAAGGGTTGACCGGGAACGGTAGGGATAGATATACAGGAAGTGTCATTTTTGGTATCATTAAAATAAGACTTGCTTAGTAGCTACGTATTAAGCTGAAAACAAAAAAGCATGGCGGCATTTTGTTCTCTTTCGTATTCGGGCTTATGAGCCAGATTCAAACAGAGGAAAAGCAAAAATCCGAGACGCTCCATTTAGACATCTAGCTCAGAAGCTCTATCTGAGCTATGCTGTGCAGCCCGCTCCACTCTATTGATGATGATGCTGCCGCCGCTGCCGCTGCTACTGGTGGATGCAGATGGCGGCAAGATGATGATGCGACATAGAACGACAACGGTTACAACGACAGAAGGAAGGTATCGCACTTGACATCGGTTCTATCTCCTCTTCGATTTTTTTCGGCTGGGAACAAAAAGTAAAAAGCCGTACTATCGTCTTTTCTGCTTTAATCTGACTTTTCATAAGTGAGATGGCTCTCTCGCGACTCCCCAATAGCATCGATGCCGCATTAGTCGTTTGTTTGTTTGTTTGTTTGTTTGTTTGTTTGTTTGTTCGTTCGTTCGTTCGTTCGTTCTTTTGTCGAATTTGGCGAGTCAGACATATCAACAAACCAAAAAAATGCGTACCAATCGACCAGGGCGCATCGAATATATGGATAGACGTATTTTGTTTGTGCTCTATGCGAAGTAACAAATGACTTTTCTGGGCGAGGGGAATGAAGCAGTTGCTCAGGGTGAACGGTTAGAATAGTCTGATCCTTTGCCGCAGCCCGTGCCACGCCGTAGTAAATGTAGCATAGGTAAACATTTGCAAGCTATTTTCGAGTGCTTTGTGTTTCCGCTGGTCGACTTCTGGGCATCTCGCTGTTGTCGGCCCATTGGATAGCTCGACTGACATCTGTAGCCGTTCGTGACAATTTTTGTCGTCGCCCTCGTCCCCCTTGTTGACCGATACGATTACGCAGAAGCGGCGAGATTGAAGTGTTTGATAATACCGAAGACTCACCCAAGGCATCACGCAAGTTTTCACCATTCGCTACTTAACAAACAGCGGCTCGACCCAGTTGGATCCGTAGTGACTATTAGCACCAGAGCAGCGATGCACGGGATCCGAATTTGTCTACAGACACCACCTGCACATTATCGGCCATGTTAGGAAATACTTCTGTGACCTATGACAACAAATAGATGACCTAATGGTGAGCGATACTGATTCGTAGATGTGGACCCTACGCTAGTAGCGTCGAAACGAATGATGTGTACGAAAATATCGAAGTCACAAATAAAGCCGTCCCTTTTTCGGAGGGTCGGAAACAGTTGATTCGATCTACCGAAGACGGCAATGCTTCTGAACGACTACGCTCTCAGGAGGCGGTAGGTGTCTTCCTCCATTAGAAAAGTATTTGGCCAAGTTCCAGTTCAATATTGAACTTGTAACTTAAAGCAACACCTGTAATGGACAACATGATTTCATTTATTGTACTGTTTTACAGGCTTCATTAGTTGGTTCAAATAGCAGGTTACTCGTAAAGCAGTTGCGTGCTATTTGGTGAAAGGCGTGTCCAACTAATTCACAGGCCCTTCACAAATATCCGAACTTATCGGTTGTATCGCATTTTATTTCAGTGAAGTACGAACTAAAAAGTATCGACGATAGTAGACAACAGCGTATGCACTAGGGCCTAAATGTAAATGCCCCCGAACCATCGGCCGAGCCGTCAATCACGGAACTATCAAGCCCGTCTACGATTTAACTAAGCCTGATTATTCCTAATACACCACTGCGATCTAATTCTGTCTAAGCATATTTATCTGAATTTCTAATCTTATCTCTTCACTGAATCGATTATTTAGCGACGATTTAGTGAGACGATTATTAAGATTTGCTAAATCTTTACACACTTTACAACGTTTTTGCTCATTTTTATCTTCTTTCTTCCCAATTTTCTCGACGAGCTTCGAATCGATTTCTACTCAGCGTGTCCGTATTGCCTCTATATGCATGATAGAAGCGCAACGTCAAGCTACTGTGAATCATGTACCGACGTACGTATGCGTATTTGCACAGACACGGGCAAGTCGGTGGTGGTTGATTGTAATTATTACCATCGTAGTAGTAGATACACGGACCGATCTGGCGCATGATGTCAGCCATTTACTCGTTTTTGTACTTTTTTACTGTAACAAGCTATTCCAAATGCTGCCCATAACGCGATTAGATTTATTGTCAAAAGTCAGCCTTTGGCGAGAGTGCGCTAGTAGCGACCTAAATAATTATGATAACAAAATGACCTGAGCCTCATTCAAGGACACGACTGGAGCTTATCTTAATTAACCGAAAATCACATACAGATACATTTGTATAGCCAGTAAGAAACGCACCTGTTTATCTCAATGTTGCCCATTTATTAGTATCTTAATTCATTTTCCAATATTTTTACATTTGCGATGCGAACTCTCTTCTAGCAACAAAACAGCCCTATAAGCACTTACAGGCATGAAATAGAGACGTGAAACATCTGATATAAATTAAATTATATATATGTAGAGATAAAAAAAAGACGTACAGGACAAATGCAGCATGTCCATTGAGTATATCTCAATGCGGTAAAGTGTACAAAAGTGTTCTACGAATAGCTCTGCATTGTAACATGTAATGCTGATTGACGCTCTACGATGAAGTGACATCTTATAATCAATCAATCGGCTTCAACGATCAGAGTAAGCATTTTTATTGATATCGAATAAAAAGACATATGTATTATATGAATTGATATTTACAGACACGTGCAAACTCGTAGTTTTCACCTTTAAGGGCGTCTCTAGCGTCATTCAAACATTCGGTAGAGATATCACTGACAAACCCTTATAGGTGAGACTTAGTTTTTTCCACAGCTGTATAGAGCAACGTGAGCCAGCAGGCTCCATTGAGCCTAGCTAGATAGCGTCCAGTTTTGACAGGTCTGTGTTCACTAAATTCGACTGAACTAATGGCTTGCAGTGTCACCGCATGGCCTTAATCACTCGCCGAACCGACAGCTTTTTAAAACTATGGACCAACGTGCTTCGTAACACGCATCTATAATCGTTCACATATAATGACTCGTGCATTGTAACTAGGAGAAACATCTGAGATAGGTTTTCTCTGTAACACTTTGAAGTGCAGGGTACTTCGTTAAACGTCGCTGAGGATTTCTGAAGCCTTAAGCTGACTCAGGTGTATTTTCAATGCTGTTCTCCCTGTTGAAAATACGCTGAAGTTGCTTCGACCAGTCAACGGTGGGACTGCATTACGTAGCAAAGAGGAAGATTGAACGCGTGTTCTCAACAAGTATGACTCGCGTTTTTTGTGTCCTTTTTCCTAGATATAAACTTTATTTTATTCAGTGGGTAAAAATGTTCATAATATCTTTATAATGGTCGTTCTGTTAAGTGTACCGCATCAATTCAGCGAGACGTTTCATTGACAGCACCATGCCTTCGAAGGAACTCTTCGATAACTTTCTGGTCTCGTTGCAACCACTTGGCATTCGAGATGATACTCTCAATGGTTTGCTTAATCGTTAACTCTGTTCCCGGTATGGCTCGCTGGAAACAACAAATGTGTTCTTTTAGTTAACTTTTGCTAAACCGAACTAGATTGGACTTCAGATAGGCAGCAAAACTGTGACTCCTAGATGAAGTCGAGAGGTAAGATGGAGGCGAAAAATAGGTCTAGAATTATCTTGAGATGCATTGAGTTTCTCCAAGCAAGCTACAAAAGAACATTCTCCCGGAAAGCTGTCGACTTATCGAGGCTAACGAAATTCTTCTTTTCGAAAATAATTGGTAAAACGCTAGATAAGGTAAGGTCAGGTCGTAATTTGCATCCATATTTGAAAATTGTGCAGACGGCCTATTTACGATGTTATATATATATATATATATATATATATATATGCTAAGGGAATCATTTCGGTTGTATTTAGCCTGTTATCCAAGCAATTAAAATAGTTAAGTTTATACTGAAAAGGATAAATTTCTACTTACGTTGGCAAAGAATTGTTCAACCTCCTTTGCTTTTTCGAACGTTTTAAAATTTTCTGTCACCCCCTTAATGAGCCGCGAGATAAGGAATCCGGAATTATAGCGTTTGCTGTACCTATTGTTGAGATCGATCAACAAACATAGTTAGTGCTGCGTAACTTTTATGCCTATGAGAAAATTTCAGTAACAATGCAGTCGTTACGTGAAATTGTCTAAAGTCAAGATCGAGCGTAAACGTATTTACCATTTGGAACCAGTCGTCTGATCTAATGTTTAAAGCCAACTCTAGCAGTCAACAATAATAAACCCATAAGAATCACTCATTAAGGAACTAAACGAAACATTCATTCATTCTCATCGATATATTAAAGCTTCCTTTATAGATTCGTTGCTAAATTTGTTTTGCCCAAACATACGGAGAAGCGAGTAAACTTCTATCTAAGCAAAGCTAACTGAAAGTGGCAATTGTAGCTTGGAGCAGATTTTGGCTAAAAATGGCGTTACCGTTTGTGATTGGCCTGATAGTGCTTCCAGGCGAGGTCCCTTCCTTGTGCGGAGGTGGATACTGAAGCAATCACTGATATGGCGTCCTGAGCTCGAACCTGGTTCGAGAACCAACCACACAATGCCCAAAATGAATAGATACATCGTTAAACGTAGACATAAATCGTTCATAAAATATACCGTACACGGTAAGTGTGATTAAACAATGACTAAATAAAAAACTATTTATTACATTTTCGATATTATTATCTGGATTTAATGACAGCTAGCTTGCAGGTATACCAAGGCGTCCTGCACAACTGTTATCCTAAATTTATAGTTAGGAAAGGCGGTATAAAGACTTCAACCAGTCAGTTATTTAAAGCGATCTTTAACCTGCTCTCTAACAGTAGAATGCAGTTACTTTTTTCACATAGCATACTGTGTATTAATCCCGAGAAGACCTGGCATGGCAGAACTCTGCTATGACATAGAAACCGCAATCGTTAAATCAATCAGATCTGCCCCTTCATTTGTAGCGACTTCGCCTCGCGCCTTCTTCGCGTCTGGGAGGGGCAAACCATTGACGCGTAGCGTCAATGCTGTTAAACCCAATAATCGACACGTAATAATACTTAATGCCTTCACTGTTTTACAGCGAAAATACAAACCTCAGACGAATCGGCAAAGTTAAGTACTTTCTGAATGTATTCAGGCGTTGGGACATCACCAAGCGCAATCAGGATCCGCTCTGCTTCCTCTTGAAGGTTTGCCTCCTGTCAGAATCAAAGAGGACCAATCTGTCAGTAAATCTAAAAGTCTTTGAAGGATTAATTATACAAATTACACTGCCTTACGAACAGATATACGCTCGACCTTGTGTAAATATCATAAATTCAAGTAGATAATCAAAGGCGTAACGTTTACCGATCGACAATTACTTCAATTGGCTAGGAATACTTATTCAGTAATGGATTTAAAGTGAGTTTACCTTGTGTAATTTTATTAACTGGGCCCAACTCGTCGAATCTACGGTTTTGGCCACCGCGTGATACACTGGCGAGCGAATATCAGCTGATAAAATTCGCCTACCATCCACATAAGCGTTGAATCTACAAATAGTCACATATTTGCTATAGCAGTCAGGAAGGGCTAAGTAAAGGTGATCTTACTTCGTACGTAAAGGAGCCCGTTAGTCCGGTAGGCAAGAACTATAAAAAAAAAAAATATACCACATAACAATCTCCGGCTTTTGCAAACGTGCGCTTACTTGCTAGTCGAACGGTAAAAACTGCCGCGTAAAAAGCGGATTGTTCCAGCTCGATATTATTCAATCGGACAAAGTTGGATCTACTCTGTTTGTTTTTCTCATACTATGTTTTTCGTCATATCGAAACCACGAGTACTTATAAAATACGAAATAATTAGACATTTACAATGTGTGAGCTGTTTATATCATTAGACAAAGCGAAACTTCCTAAACCTGGTTCTGGCTTCGGCGAGGATCTCTGCATCGTTGAAGGTAACCAGCATCGATAAAACAACTGTGCGTAGAAGGGCTGTTGTGTGCTCTGCAATAACGTATACAAACGAGCGTTTACCTATAGACCAGCTTTTATGCAGCCTTCAGTCGCACTATTTAAGCGCGTCTCCTAAACGAAAATTCACATTCTGTTTGCTCTATTTGTTTTAGCGTACCTTTTATGCAACCTCGTTCATTTTACAGATATATTTATATTTGATAAAACATAGTCTGTCCAGGTAAAGCATGTCCAATTTAGTTCCATACTCTATAATATCAGCCAAAACATGAAGGTTTAGGCAACTTACTCTCTCCCGGCTTCGTGTCCCAACCTACGGACTTGAATATGTTGCGAAACAGTTTGGCTCCGAACTTATGTAGCTTCCCGACGAGCTCCACGTCATCACCGAGCAGTAGCGACATCTTCGACAGCAAAATTGCCACCGAGTTCCACGTCGAGAAGTCCGTCTCGTTTTCGTACGCCTTAGTGAACTCCAGAAGCTCTGTAGTGTTTCGATACCCGCTTTGGACCTAGGCATGGTTCACAGACATGTAAAGTCAGTACCAATAAATGTTCTTTGAAAGCTATGTTCTATCAATATTGCAGAGTAAACTGTACATGCCGGTCCACCCTTTATGTCGGTAGAGGCTATTTATTATTAATAGTTTTGGCCTGGGTGACTCAATGGCTTGATTGAGGAAACATGGCTACGATGCATTTATAATATGCGATAAATATTGTAAAAAGAATGCCATCGATGTCATTAAGTGCTGTGTGGAATTCTATTGGTTAAAAGAGTACGTCCACCACAACGGACACTGTAAAAATGAATTCCCAAGGTTACGCAGGAATTTGTCCTAGGGTATATATCCAGAGTGTGAGAAATAGGGTCGACGTTACCAGTGCGAAGAGGTCAGCGTGCAGAATAAACCGGTTTTCAGCGCTGAGAGTCTTGCTTTTTACAGCATCGAGTAGGCCAGCGAGCATTTCTCGAGAGTACATTGTACGGAAGAAAGAGACAGCACCGTGATTTACCTAATGATGAAAAAAAAAATAAGCGATTTATAGCACAAATAACGACAAAAATAATCAAAATAGCTTCATTGCGGAGAAAAATCGCTCCCGATGGTTTTCTAACCTGAATCCACGATGCGTTAACTGCGCCTTCAAGGGTGACTTCGGTTTCCTGTGCTTCAAGTAGGATTTTCGTTTCACCCGTCGAATTCCCTCCCCATGCAATTGGAATAGGTACCTAATCAACGTTGAAAAAATTAACTGCTTAGAAAATCTGTCTGATCAGCGTCACGTATATCGAAAATGGTACAACATTGCAACGACCGTCGTTCTGCTCGAAACGCTCGTAGTATAGTATCTTTTTGACAAAAAATATAGCCAAAGCGAAACGACCGATAATCGTTCGCCAAATGCGATCCTTCAGTATGCTTAATAACTGTCTTCATTAACGTCGTACCTTCCATAGTGGCTGAGGCTCGTTCCGTTTTGGATTATCAACCTGTGAGTAAAATTTGTTTTGTCGCAGATTTAGTACGATATTATCACCTTTATACAGGGCAGTCACCTGCAACCAAAACGATCAACAGGTATCAATTGAGCCAATCGTCGATTCTGTATGAGAATATTGTTCATTACACTTTACGTCCACTCAAAACGTTTGAAAAATACTGTTTAGAATGGGCCGTACGTAGCAAGGCTATACGCCTTGCTACGTACGGCCCATTCTACTCTACTAGCTCTATGACAGCGCTCCATGAATATGTTAATTGCACTGGGACCGAAATTTCGTCCGTAAGATAACGTTCCGACCGAGATAGCGTTCCGTAAATTAGGTTGTACGATCGATAAATGGCAAATGTTAATTACCTTTTATGAAACTATCATACGTAAGTGCGTAGATAGGAAGTGAACGTTTTGCCTGGCATTAGAAGATATCCACATAGATTTTCAACTGGGCCAAATATACTCGTACCTGGATTACAGGGAAGCCGACCTGTTTAACCCAGCTGTTCATAACGGATTCAACCCGAACACTTGACACTTCCTCCAGTGCCTTCCACAGATCTGACGAAAGCGTGTTCGAATATTTATGACGATTAAGGTAGAGCTGCATGCCTGCCCGAAATTTCTAGAATTTCATATGAACATGTACATTCGATACCTGTTATTTAACCATGGAAGTAAAATGATGTTACTGAAACCTATTTTGTATTGGGCTTGCTTACTGTTTAGCTTTAGAGTAAACCGATTTTTTCCTTTGGCAGATCTATTTGCATTTAAAGTAGAAAATTCAATACAGGTCCTTACATCGGCTCCTAAATGGCTGTTGAGCATACGAATGATCGAAGCGCCCTTTTCGTAGGCGATATTGTCGAAAATTTCTTCAACCATGGCTGGATGCTCCACGATTACTTCGACCGGATGCGAACTGTCCAACGAGTCGAGCTATGTACAATACCATTCAAATATATTCATAGGCTTGGGTGACCCACGTACGGTACGTACTATTCAGCTAAGTATCCAGTCGGATATAGACACGGGAAGAGCTCGGCGCAAGCCGTCGTTCATTTAAGAGATTAAGTTGAATAAGTATGACCAACCAGGGCTAGTCTGCACTTTGTTTCATTGAGTTTTAGAAATATGCGCTTAGCCCGTAAAAATATACCTTCACCTATTGCTGCTAAGAAGTACGACCTAGTCTGAGAGAGTTCTGGTAATTGTGCCCATTATTGGATAATAGGTGGGAAATTGAGTTAATTTTTGTTACTTACGTTGAGGCCTACGTTGAGCGTTTCGGCAACGAACTGGGTCCACATATCGTAATCCGGGTAGATGTGGTCCGTGGTCAAGCTTTCCATGAACTTCGCAAAGCCTTCATTAAGCCACAAGTACGTCCACCACTCCTGAGTATACGAGCGATGCACCAGTCCAATCGAAAGAGGTCAATGAGCAGGGTGACATTGAGAACTCCAAGTAAACATGTACTTGTGTGTCTTAAAAAACGTATTATTTAAGCTAACGATCTGTCTCGCTCGTAGCAAAGTAACTCTTTTCACATATTCAATGCGATTGTTTATTCCAGTATATGTGTGTGTGCAAATGGGCAAGAGCGAAGTTCGAGTTAAAAAAGGAAAAGGTGGAGAAGAATTCGTTGAAGCTCTTGAATAGAGACGTTTCGGATAGAGCTAATGTATAATAAAGCTTCAAATAGCTTATCGTTTTTACCATGGTTACGAGATTTCCAAACCACATATGCCCAAGCTCGTGTGTTACAACCGTAGCTACATTTTGTTTAATATTCGTTGAGGAGTTCATCGGATCGTAAAGCACAGTTGTCTCCCTGAAACGCAAAAACAGGTCAATTAATCGCAGATAATTCGCAGTGAAGGAACAGAGTGGTCATCGTCGCCCCATTTATGTGATAGTCTTCATAATGGCGCAGCGGTGGCGCACTTGTCGACTGAGGTTCGAAACTAACGTGACATCAACAATGTCGCTTGTACCAGACGGGGGCGCTGCGAGCGAACGACGGGAATAGTGCTTTGTATTTCTAGACATGAAAAGGTGTGAAAGCCTAAGTTTTCAGTACGCAGCTTTCTTGTCGAATGAAGCCTATAGAAAAAAACTAGAAGCGGTCTTAGCGTTTCCGATCATATATATATATATATATATATATATATATATCGTTGCTTTATATGTTAGCAAAACAATGTACTAGCTCAGCTTTTAGTTTAAGTCGAGACATGTACTATGACGACAGACCCGTCCGTAGCCTATTTGTAATTAATCTTGTAACTTGTAACAGTGGCAACATTTAATTATTCGGTTAATAAACATATATTATATAAAAGCGGGTTTAATGATTTTGATAATTTTTGGTGATGCTTTCAACGGAGTTGCTAATTTATTGGTAGAAGAGACATTTATTATGATTAAGCGGTGCTGACTATACCTGCAAGTGATAAGGCCCCAATTTTCCATCGCCCCTGCGGCAAAATCAGCAACCGCCACCAGGTCGGCTTTTGATAATGGGTACGACACCTGCAGTTATTATACAATGCAAATAATAAGAAGTGAAGCTTCGCGTCGGAGCTTTATTGACATTGACTGTTATAGTTCATAACCAGGGTAAAACCATACTGCTGCTCCCTAGAATTCCCTAGACCTGTCGTGCAGCAGTATGGTTTCCCTTTTTTTCTTTTCGTAACAACAAGGGAAGTTTCATGATTTATTTAGCCTCGGATCGCGGAAACGTTATGAGATTGACTATTCGCTCCAGATTCCCCTCCAGTAGCACATTCTGAGACTGGCCTAACGTTCTAACCAGGTTGAGGTCACCCACCACTAAAGATCTAAGGCGCTTATATACGATAACTTCAAAACGAGTTCAAGTTGGTCGTCTTATTGAGAGCATTGCAACAAGCAGCTCCACGATATTTTAGCCCAAAGAGCTTACTACAAAAGACCCCAAACAGACAATGCACAATAAAGGTCGCAACTATAAATCCATTCCAACCCTCCAAATGTAACTGGATCGCTTGATCCAACGGGGAAAATCCGTCTACGGGGAAAAAAAGCAAATGAAACATACCAAAAACATACTAGTTTCGGGAACAGGCCCGAATTGCGAGGTAAACCGGGATCATCGGGAATAGGCCCTAGCTTTTAAAAAGCTCTCTTAAAATATAGCCTAAGATGTTTCTTTTTATAAATTAGCCTAATTGATGTCGGAGAGCTGTTGAGCCGCAAAAGATCAGAAGAAATCTCCCAGTAAAATCGGCCAACCATAGTCTACAGCCCAGGATCTTATAGCTTCGAAGCGATGGGCTAACTTTGCCCATAACAGCAGCAACTTAGCTCAGATGCCCGTCTGGCTTAGTGGGGTTAAACAGACAGCACGTAAAGCACCGTGCGGCAGTATATACTAATCGCCGTATAGTGCAAAATTAATTTGATCTACATGAGTGTATCGCCAACCTCAAAAGTGATATGTTAATTTTTCGTATATCTTTATTATAATGGTGTTCTTTTCAACAGTTACTTCATGTGAGCAAGTCCTTATAATCATCTATTTTTAGGTGTAGCATCAAGGGCTTCTCCCAACAGACCTATGGAACGCCACAACTACTATACAAGCAAATATGAACCTTCATAATAATAATACCCTACTATCCTTGATTGCTAACCTTTACTTTGTTCCATATTCATGGGATCCTTAATAATTGGTGATATTTATTGTTCGAATGTTCAGAGCTGAACCAGCGTGACAGCCTGCTTATCAGTTACCATTACTAAGCCAACGCCCGTTCGAAGCACATCGTCCACGATATAGCGAAAATTGCCAACGTCTACCAAGCACAATAATATTATATAATGATAAATAATCAATAGAGGGAAAACCGAGTATTCAAGCAAATTCGAGTCGTTCAAACAGAATCGATTGAGAGAATATCAGGATTAGAATTTTAGGTTTTTACAGGCTCGCTACGAGAAGAGTACATGCCAGTTTACATAGGGTCCACCAAAAAAGCAATTTCCATGTTTTACATTAGATCAAACAAACGCGTTCCAGGCTATATATATATATATATATATATATATATATATAGCCTTTTACTTTATTATAAATAGGATTTGGCATTACAACAGCCGATAGGCTTAACTGGTCAGTTGGCAAATACGTATGGTTCTTTAGACCCGATACGCCGCCCTGAGCATACGCAGATTACTTTGTTTCTTTATTTCTCAACAGAAAACATCGAACAATGACCTAATATACAAACCCGATCTATGTTCCTTACAGATAAACCAATATATTTCCGGACCATTTTCATTTTCGAACTTTAAATCTGCGGTAACAATTTGGTATTCCGGACACATTACTGTTTGTATTACAAGTATCTACCTAATGGTTGCAATGTACGACGATATTGTACGAGATACCGGTGTTACTTACGTTGAAGTACTCCTCGAGAAAGTCAAGAGATTTTACAGCTGTGTGAAGAGCATAGCGTCCTTGTTCCCTTTTTCCCAAGGACGTATACACACGGACGCGGACGTTCGACTTTGTATAATCCTCGACATAGTCATGATGGCCCACTACAGCTGAACATCACAAAACCCATATCCAACTTTATATATATGATATATAATAGTACTGGAGTTAGTTATCTGTTAATTGACTTGAGTCCCTTGCATTGCAAATGCAAGGGACTCAAGTCAATGCAAGGGGAGCCGTCCATCGACTTTGCTTTTCATCATATTGTGAAGAAATTACGTCAGCCGAGATACTTGGATCATTTTAAAAGTGAAGTGGTAAACACCCTCACATATAATCTATAAAAGGCAATATTGGTTAAACCATAAAACAGGAAATAATAATTTTAGTGGCAACATTTTTTTAGCTTCAAAGCTAGCCCGGTATTGAGAACCTCCCGAAAATCCTCAATATGCTTATCGACCAAAGGACTTCTAAATCAGGCCCAGTTGCTGTCTAACGGCAAACACGTTCAAGCGTTTAGCGGCAGTACCAAATGAGCGAAATCAAGTTTGGACTTACTGTTACCAAACATAATAGGATTAATTTGGTAGGTAACTTTGCTTTGGCTTGCGAAAATTGAGCGAGATCCTGTTTACTATTTTCGGAGATGTGTCAGTTCGAGGCCTAGTACTAATAGGAAGTTGATTCCAAACTAAAGGTAACGGAAAAAAGTTCGAAAATTGCTTTCTGAAAATGACCGGAGCTTAACTTCCTCGATTTTCCAAGCTTAACGAATTACGTTGTTGCGAACCTCCGTGGGGCTTTCGAAGAAAAGCTCTCGTATATGAATGAATTACCGATTGTTTTGAAATCAGAACATCTACTACTTATTGGCGTGTTATCACATTACCGGCGATTGATCCCTTGGAGGCTCTTGGCCTTTTTGCAGTATTCGGACTGCTTAGCTCTTTTCGGATAGTTCCGTGAAGACCTTTTCGGCCGGCCTATGTAAAAAAATTTATTTAAGTACCCGTTTTTATTCACATAGAAGCTTTGCAACAAGCAAAATCAATGTCTATATAGGCCATCCAATATTTGGCTAATTTCTGGTTCATTTTCGTTGATGTGATGGGGTAATCCAGTTAATGGGCCTACATAAATTCGTAAATGTGGAAAATTACTAGCTGGTTAAACTTTGTTACAAACCGAAATGATGTCCAATACATAGAAAATTAATAATGATAAGTTTTAATACACCCTTTATACTTTTATGTGTGACTGGGTATTATTCTTGCCGCTGGAAAAAATTTCCTTAAGCATCCAGCCTTTCTAGAATCGCTCTAGGAAGCAAATTTAAAATATACGTTTAAAAAACAAAATCAAAGCAATCAATTAAACATATTTATTTTTTCTGAAATTCGACAATTCGTTAAATAAAGTTGAATGCTATACGATAAATTTTACGGTTCCACCAAACGGGCTAGAGTTCAAAAATTAGAAAACAATTTCAAAAATGAGGCTACGTTTGCTCCTATCACTAACTTCGGACGTCACGACTCATCTGAAGTGTTCCTTTCTAATTTCTAAACTATCAATTTCTTAAGAGACTCCTGTTCGCCTATGCAAATAAGTGGGAAAAAATACAGACGGCCGCTCGTTATGTAATTTCGCGTTGTTCAGCTCTCGTGTAGAGGAGGAATGAACCCACTGTTATATCTAAGTACGATAGTAAGCCATTACATAAACAAATAGATATTTCTGTATATAAATATATAGTAGGTTGAAAAAAATACATCGGATGCCTGTACTATACATTTATTTATTTTATATAGCGAAAGATGCTAACATTAGCACCAGCCTAGCCTTACCGATAAATGGACCTTTTCCACTCCGACCTAAATCTTACCGGCTACGAGGTACGTGCTCATTTTTGGAGTCGTTTCAAACCGAACTACCTTCCAGGACTGATCCATTTCGTAAGGTGACTCCGCAATCGGTCTCGTATTGGATAGCGCAAGTAAGTCTTTCTGGACTATCAGCGTCATATTAAACGTAGCTTTAAGAGCTGGTTCGTCCCAACAGGGGAATGCACGGTGGGCGTCGATAGGCTGCCAAGGAAAAATAACGTTACTGAACACCTCGATAAACCTTTCCTGTTTCGTTCTTTTACAGTTGACTTTTATAACTCAAAAACATTTTGCTCGACAGGGCGAAACGTTGTACCGTACCTGACGGTTTTATTATTATATATGTGGAAACATCTGATCCTCCTACCTCGAAGTGCGAGACGGCAGCATATGAATCTTCGCCCCGCTGATTTTTGCCTTTTGATCGATAGAATCCGCGAAGGCTATCATCCAGTTTTCCATGGAAATCGCAGTGAAACTGATTATTACCTGTCGACCGCGTAGGGCATATTCACACGAAAACCCAATCAATGTTACTATCTGAGTCTTCGATACAAATCATTTCAGCGCATCTCACGTGTGAGTCACAGTCATCCTCTAATCTGTATTTACGTATGAAACTTCAAATGCTGAAATAACCATCATAGTTACATTAGTACTAATGTTAACTATTATGAACTTAACTATAGATATTGGGGACATAACTATAGATGGGGGGATGTTAGGCTATTTTATGATTAATTACGTTAAGTTGTTACGAGCGAATCCTATTCTGAAATGTAAACACTTTTGAGAATGATAATTGATTTGCTGTCCATGCACTAGTTCCAGCCCTCTTCTAAATAATCCTATACTTACATTCCCGTATGCAATTTCTCTTTCTGTGACCTCTTAAAGTCAATCGATGATGGGATATGCTTGCCCACCAATGGGCCTTTTTTTAGGGCATGGAAGGTGCCGTAATTACGCAAACTTAAATCAAGGTAACAATCGAGTTTAGGCCAACGCTGCATACAGTTTCGCTCAATCGAAGCCGATGAGGTCTGGTATTAGACAACTACACCGCGTTCTTCCGCTGCATTCATTGTCTCATTTTCGGTAAGTGTAGCAGACGTTTCCTTTGCAAGTACTGTTATTAACTTACATCACAATTCACTCGACCTTGCTCTCGAGCTCGATTCCCTTTTACCGCGACGTTGCTCTGTCGCTTGTCAGCAAGGGTTGAACCATGTCTCGTCTACGCCACCTATATGCCCAAGCGGGCTTCTTGTTTATTATAGTTAAAGGTCCGAGACTTACGTATGGAATATACCAAACGCCTTTTCAACGCGTCCAAAGACAGTTCGCGAGTCACTCTAAATTTTCTCCGCTAGCGGCCTTTCAAGATCTACGAAATTTTCTTGCAACAGTCTACGTTACTCTCATAGTATAAAATATATATACGTATAGCAATTTTCATGAACTAAAGCTACCAAATTATACTGGCTTTCATATAGCGTCTATGTAACAACTTCGTATAACATGCTAAATTTGAATATTATATATATATATATATATTATATATATATATATATATATATATATATATATATATATAAGTTCGAATATTATTATATATATAGTAATAATGCAAATTTTCTTTCGAAATGGACAGGTTATAATTGATGGTCTCGGGGGATGTTATGAGGGGCTAATTACTATGTCTTGGTATTGTTGCCGTACGATATTATGTTCCGATTATCGAAGTTCCTACCTTAATAGACCATAAACAATTATACATTTCCGTTATTCAAAATACCCAAAGGGGCTATGTCTTTCACAAGTAATACCTGAAGAGGCATCGTCGAATAGGTAAATGAATATAAATATGGGACGACCACGTCCTGCAAAGGGTAACTGAATTTTAGGGACAGTTTTTTATCTTTGCGAAACCGGACAACGAATTCCTGAATAAACAGGCCTTGAATAAAACTTTCCAGAAAACATACACCTAACATATTGCAACGAAACCTTAAACGGGGACCAGTTTTTCTCTGAAATCAAGTAACAGCATAGTCATTAGAAGTAATATAATCTTTTATTTAAACTAACATGGTTTTTAAATATATTCCACTACGTCATTTTCAGTCTGCAACCTTCAGAACGTTTGGCGCGTTTTAACGGCCGTTACTTTCTGATGCATTTAGAAAGGAACGTCTGAAAAAATCGATTCCGTTTTTCCGGTGCCATATCATTGATCGGTCGTAAACTTACGCTGTCTGATATGATACGATAAATTCTAGAAAAAAAAAGTCCGATGGCTTCATATTAGCTTAGCTGCTTGTTATAGAAAAAGCACTCTCGTATGCAAAAACGTCATTACATACAATAACAGCACAAGCAAACCAGTTACTTAAGCGCGTGTTATTAAACGCTTTTCCACTGTATCAATGCTCATATCTGATTCCTTAATAGTTCAACACTCGCTACTCTGAGCTCAATTCGCTTCAACTCCTGACAACGATTAAATTCATTTACATCGGTAAATAGATATGGAAGCCGGTTGTATAAGCGCGTCTGCTGCGACAAGACTAGGAACGGTGCGACACAGTACTTGGTAATTCTACATCCAGTCACTACATCGGATGAATTAAAATCACTCATCTGAAGGCTACCTTCGTGAGGATGCTCTAGCGTCTTAAAGGCTCACTCTATTGAAAAGATCGTGTTAACTGCGACACCGTTCTAGTACTGCGTGTGTAGTAGACGGTGTTCATCGTGTGACGGGGTCATTTTGATAATAGGATCTTTACGCTAGTTAGACTCCTTGACATTCCTTCTCCTGTAAAGCACAGAAACTACTAGCAGAGAGTTGTTAATTGGTAAGCGGCTATTGCTGCTATGAGAATGCTATTGCTTGAAAGGTTCGAAATGTGGAGAAAAAATACGCTTGAGCTGTGAAAGCAAAATGTCTTCAATATCCTAGTCGGATAACGTCAGTGCCCGCTGTTGGCTGAACAACAACACATCTCACGTCTCCATTAAACACAATCCGGCATCTCTTTAAAAAATGATTTCGTGCTAGTGTTAGAGAGCGTTTGAGCTTAATCTTTTCGCAACAGATGAAATCTCGCTGCTTTATCTGCAAGTCATATCAGAGTAGGAACGTGCCTGGGAAACATCTGGTCCGAGTGTAAGCTACTACCAGTTGCCAATGCTCACGTTATTAAACGAAACAACCCTAATTTCGTGTGTCGTTGGCTAGCAGGAATGAGTATTTCACGTAGATTTCTTCATAGATTCATATTATAACAGTTGATCCATTACAACACGGGCTGACTTATCGTTGTACCCCCAGCGTTTAGTGCGTGCGCTTAATTTTATGTTGCGCTGTCAAGGTCTTTTACTAGTCCCTACGGGCACGTACTGTTCGGAAGCTTAAAAGCCAACTGGGTTAGCTGGTGGCAAAACTACTGACTTTTGATGTGGCTAGGGTGCCTTGCATGAGCACGCGACAACAAGCCCGCACAGAGCCCCCGTCTTCGTGAAGCATATCGTGATGTCGAAGCAGCAGACTTAGTTATCGCGGCTGCTTAGATGCTTATCCACTTTGGCGGCAAATTCATAAATGCCGAAGAATTAGAAAGCGATGCTTCCTTGACTTTTGCTTGGTTGCCAAAATTTAGCTGTGCCATACCTTCACAATTGCACCCGCCATGGTATGCCTCTCGGGACAGTGGCAGGTGTTTTCTCTTTGGGCCTGCGGGAACAGGTGTCGGACTGTCGCGGCTTCTACTTGTAAACGACTCTAACTGCCTCGGCGTAAGAACTGACGTTTACCACAATAACAATTAATAAAAATAGCTGAATTTGCGGGTCTTCGGGCGTTAGCCAGGATCACAGTAAATCCGAGCTTATCTCCCAGTTAACCTAACAGCGCAAACATATTAATTGAATGTCTCCGCGTGAAATCCTGTAGCGGAAAATCTGGCCAATTTGGACGACCCGGCTCTCTATTAGAAGAGTAACCGTCGCCTACTTTATTCTTGAAGCTGTTCCATGCAGTCGCTTCCCACGTGTGCGGACAAGACCATACTCGGGGGTATCCATTGTAAGTACTGCCGGTCAGTTAACGTCCCGCTATCCTCATCTAAAAGCTCAAATTTTTCTATCCAGTTTTTTGGTCGAGTCTCGTTGGACGCCAACTCGCCAACGATACCGTCTAATCACTCAGGCGCACAATCAGTCAATTCTCCAACGCTTCCATATCGCCGGCTGTCTCACCGCTGTCATCAAAATGAAGACTGCCTTTGGAGAAGATTTGTCGCGGGCTGGCGGAAATGAACGCTTCGCAACCACTGGTTCTGCGTAAATCTATACGTAGACGTATAGGTAGGTCGGACGTTAAGGTGATGGTAGTATTTACAGTAAATATCAGAGGTATCTGCTACTATGAGGCACTCGCCGAGATGAACGCAAAAGATGCAGCTCGTTATCTCCACCCTTTCGCAAGAGACTCATTGGCTGATGGCACGATAATCGAGCGCGGAGTCTAGTTTCTTGGCGAGAAAGCCAAAGGTGATCGCCGTGCCTTAATTACTTATTGGGCAGGAAAATATCCAACGTTGGCTTCAACAACGCTTTTTTGAGCTGAGGGCACTGCTTCTCTCCGAATTATTCTGCGGAACATGAGCTGCTACCCTTTAGCTTATATTTTTAAGATAACCCGCCGTAAATCGTATGCATCACAAAGTCATTGCACAGCTGAAGGCGTTACGTTTTATCGCTAATAAAAATTACAAGTGGCTAACGTACGATGGCTGCATAGCGGCTTGCTCGATTAAGTCTTCGTCCTATGTTATAAATCACTTCTCAGATATGCGTTAAGAGATATGCAAAGTGCAACGAGGGTATCTCAGTGCAATACAATATCCTTCAACAAAACCTATGGGAACCAATACAGTGTCTTGGAAGCCTACGAAATAAGAAAACCATCAGTCTAGACAGGGTCTCCAATGAACAACTAAAACGCGCCGTCCATGTGGCACCGTGCTGGATGGCATTATTTACCGATACACTCTGAGTCCGGTGAAGAACTGCTGCCTTATTAGCTGCTCCCCGGCTTGCTGAGTAAGAGACCGAATAGTTATTCTCTACACTCTATCCTAACAGATTAACATGAGTTCTGGAGCGAACGCTTTACAAAAATGGCGCGCAGCGTCTTAATGGCCGACGTCGGAAGAGCATTTGCCATACAGCGTAATCCGTTATGCGTGGTCTTCATCGACTCTAAAGCAGCTTTCGACTCGGTTAAACTCGAGAAAAGGTCATACTCACAGTGGCCGTCGTGGCTGTCCTTACAAAAATTCTCGACCTTTCTTTTGCGATTTTACCGAAAAATAGAATAACCATCAACGACAGAGTGACCGATACCCTTTACACAAATAATCAGCCTGGCTGAGCCAGACCTCGTTGAGAAGCCAATTACTATTTTCCATCGTGCTGATCAGATAAGAGGGCCGAGGGAAGTTTTATCGTATGGGGCACGTGCCCCACCGTTAGGAAGAGCGGACAACCTCGAATAATTAAATCGCGTCCAAGCTTCGCTCCTCAAAAAACCTTTGGAACTACATATAGCGGCCCAAAATTGCCTTATGTATCTCCTAGTTGACATGCCCTTACAATCCCGAAAGTCTGCATCGCTGTAAGCGGCCGCTAAGGGAAGCCTGTAAGACTAGCTTCAAGAGCTGGGAGCAATTTTTTGCTTCAGATAGGACGAGGAGAAACAACGAGAGGAAAAGGACGAATTATCTAGATAAACATATCGTCAATCGCTTTGCCGTGTATGTGTTCTACCATAGACTCTGCAAAAAAGCAGATTTCCAGGAGCCTGATGGAACATTTAGGTGCATCGAACGCGGGGGAGATTTTGATAGATATCCTGCTACGCATTGCCCCTACCATCATTGCTAGAACATCTAGCAAATGTCTCAAAACAATTTTATCAATTCAACAAGTTTCGTGTAACCCACATGACGCAAACTGTGTTCGATGGTCTGATTGATTTCTCCTGCTATCGATTTACTTCAAAAAGCTATAGGTAGATGGCATACAAAAGCGTGAGAGATGGGTGTATGGCTGTCCACAAGCTGCCAAAGCACCAGCTTAAGTGTGTAAAAAACATAGAAGAATACCTCGAATATGTTGGAAAATAATTTTTCGACCGTAGACACGTGTATTGTTTTTGTGCGGGCCTTAAACTTGCGTCATTTGTGGTTAAGAGCATATATTTGGCTCATACATTATAAAAGGCTTTTTCTGAATAGAACAATGTAACCATCATCTATGATGGTCCTTTTAGGCCTTTATCAGCAGCAGACTAGATGCTATAAACAACAGGTTGATACGCTCGGCTCTTAGCTGTCGTGGTACCACTAAATAGCATCTGATTTTACTAGACGTCTCGTAATGCAATGCACCCTCTTGCCTATACAATGTATAGGTTGTTTGGCTTTGATCATAATATTGGCGCTGTTATCCGTGTTTTTAGTCGATCAGCCCTCGCCTGTATTTCACTCACTTTGTATTTTGCAGCGAGCGATGCGTCACGAGCGCTAGGAAACAAACACTTACCTAAATCATGACAAAAGCATTATGCCATACCCAAAAAAATTGTTATAATACCAAACGAGACATAATAGTCGTACATAGAGTGTGAAAAAATGGGAAACAACAAATGAAGGTTCCCTTCTGTTTAGAAATCAAGCGGTGCTTCGCAGTAGCGACTCGCACTACCAACCAGTAATCCTATCTGCTAAGTATTATTGTTGAATGATCCTTGTGTGCTTGCCTGTGTTTAGAAGGATTATTTAGAGACATCTTTTGATTTATATATTAGAAGGCCAAGTGAAACGCCAGAAAAATATCGCAGCGATGAGTCACACTTTTCGCTTTTTAACATACATACAGGATTCATTTGACGCGTCCATATTATTAAAATCGAACAAGTGATCCTCAAGATTGGGCCTGTACTTCGTTTCCATAAACGCGCCGTGTGGCTCCTACTACACCATTTATATGACACTTGCATATATTGTGTTTTTGGCACAGTGAACGTATTAAAACGTTTAAACAAGTAACCAATGCACACGTATCTATACCTCAATAAAATCGTTTACTTTCTAAATTTGGTGTGATGTACACCTAGCGTTTATTTGCATCTCATATAATCAGTGAACAGACACCGTAGCGATCTGAGCGCATTAAGGTTCAGAAATGGATGAAATTTAGTTAGTACACAGAAGGCGGATGGGCAACACTGTAAATAGTTGTGTACATACACAAAATGAGCGATTATTCGCAAATTTAAATTGGCAGTAAGTTTTTTTTTTGTTCTTTAAAATCCATGGAAGTTTTAAAAGTGTACTGAGCTTCATTAGTTTAAGTAAAGCTGAAACACAACCTTGGCACGCAACTTACCGAGTGGTAAGTCTTCATCGAAGACGAACTCTAGACGCTCCTCGTCGGCCAATGTTTGAACCTTGATTGGTCGCAGCACTTCACCGGTTGAGGTTACTGTGAACGTCGGATTCTTTATGTCAAGTTCCTGACTATCAAGTTTGATAGTACGGGACACTTCGTTCACCTAAAAAGGTAGTCCATAATGTTTCTGGTGATAACCGAAAACAAGAGGAATGCATGCACGAAACGTTATCAAGACATTTTGCGACACAGTAAACGAAAGAGTAAACCAGATCAATGAGTTTTTAAATCCGAACTCTTGGTCTATCAGATTAAAAGTCACCTTGACATAACTAAGGCTACCGTTCATCTCTTTGATGAATAATTACCTTTTACGGCGTTTCTCATGTTGATTGCGCAGTCAATACGCCCGTAAACGATATGGCTTATTATCAGAGCGTTTTTTGCCGGAATATATTTCTCCATAACTGGCTCAGCGTTAAGCACAATACGGAATAATGCGTGTAGCGTACGTGTACCCAATAATATACGTATACTACGACTACAAGAATCAATGTTTGCTTCCGACATTTTCTGCCCTGCGATTTTCATTGTCCGGGCCTCAAGTGGTCAAGAAATCGCCGCCTCGGCGGCAGCGCGACTTCCTGCACACTCTGCCAACCGTCCCAATACAGACTGTAGCCTTGCGGCTTGGTTAATTATTTTGCCCGTTGTAGATTTGACCTCCACCAACTACTACGGGGACAAGTGCGATCGGTTCGTTCTGCAGCTTCCTTATATAGGAATAGTGACGGAAATAGCTAAAATTAAATACATAACAATATATATAAACGTAAGCCTTATGACGCTAGGGAACGGACGTCAGAACCGATTGCATGGTACGAAAAATTAACCAGGTAAGTCAGTGAATCGTTCACAATGCCGCGAATACAACTCGCTAGTTAGATCACCTACGATCTCTACACTTCTCGGTAACCCAACTACGCGACATCACTCGACCTTGGAGGAAAGCCTGCTTCAAATTCAAAAACAGTATCCTATGGCAGAGGTCAATACTTTCATCGAGCATTGAGCCATTTAAAACGATAACGTAATGTCAGCGATATGTGCAGGCTCGCTCGGGAGTCCGGGATGCAATTCGCTCGTATGTGCCCTAAACCCTAACATTAGTGAGTCATACAAATGACTAACTGAAAACAACGCTCCTATGTTCGAACTCTACACGATCACTTATCACGGTCTAATTCAACAATATATCTGGATAGGTGCTGGGAACACTCTGTTTTATCCACACATCGATAGCTTTCGCGGTCAACGCCAACAAACCCAAGCAACACGCTTGAAATACTCGGTGGCACCGTACAATATATAGCTGTGAAACTTCTACCACAATTCTAGATCTGTTTTTTTTTCTTCACCCGACCCAGAAAAGCTCGAGCCTATCATCAGACCGGTAGACAACGACGAGTGTTATATGAAATTACTTGGATGAATTGTCAACGTGGTTCTTTACATAAAAGTAAATATAAATGACCATAACACAAGCAGTCATCCAAGCTAGATAAGCAAATTAGGCAAAATCTCATTTTTTTAATCCGGACGATATATAGATAATGAGTTGTATTTCTGTACGTCTTCATGGCTGCAGAAGACAGTTCCAGACAGAGATTTATAGTTAATATCCGTAATTAAAGCTTATTACTGATAACGAAGGACTAACATCTAACTTCACTAGCTAACTAAAGACTGTAGATAAACGGCAAGGATGCCGCTATAGAAATACGGAGGGGTCCAAATCATGATGATTCTTCAGACGCTACCGTCACGCGATGCCTTTCAAATGATAAGTTCAGATCGATATTGATTCGTGTGTGCACGGATAATTATTCGCAAGAATCCAACAAAAAATTTTTCCTCAAACCTGGTTAGTTGCTCATTCCAGGACAACCATACCATGCTGATTTTGTGATGCAAACTGGTTTGCCCCCATTTATCACTGGTCAAATAATTGCTAAATATAGTCTCCGTATCTATCTCACGTTACTCGGTGGCCTATTGCCATTGAAAGGTCGAATGTATCCGTGAGCATTCTAATAATAACCACTAATCAATCGAATGCTAGAACTGATAAATAGAACATTTAAACCGTACATCGCGGATCGTCGATCTAGCTACAGAGAAACCTCCCAAGAATCCTTCGAGTTCCTTGAAGTTTCGAGAAGCCGCCGATGTGATTTTATCGCTTTGACGAATGCCGAAACAAATCCCTATCAGAGGCAAATTCATATTTGTAAACTGTTGAAATTGAACTGACATCTCCCTCATCGTGTATTATAGAGCGGAGTTAGCCCACTGAGCTTCTTTCTAAGCAAGATCATAACCTAAAATGATGGGCTACGCTCGAAAAAATCATTAGTCATACTACTTTCTTAGGTTGCGTCATGGTCACTCGATGTATACGATCGGTCTAAGCGTCACGAAAAAGGCTTTGCACAGTGATGTCTATCAAGTCGGCATTGTTAATATTCAGGTAGCGTCTCGAAAATCATGTAGCTCGGGCAGCTGCCAGATGTGGGTTGCAACTCAGATTGGGGCTGAGTTTAGGTAGGTAGAACTCGTTTCTAAATAATACTCCCCCCACCCAAAAATAACGAACTGAGTTTTTATTATTAATTAACTACGCTCGTTTGGAAACGAAATCAAATACCTTAATAGCGATGCTGACGGAACCATCGAAGACAAATCTATTCAGGTCAGGCTTCAGTGTTATGTTATAACTGACAGGTAAAACATTTCGTGGAAGTCGGGTAAATGTTTTGTACTTTACAGATGCTGACGACGTGCCCGAATTTCTGAAATCAAAATGGGCATCAATTAGTGTAACGGTCCTTTAGTCTCTATTGCGATAGTAACTGTCTTAGGCGTACTATCATTGACTGGCTATAGCACTGGCTTAATAAAAATCGATTCCAAACGCTATATGTTAGTTGTGTTATTACGATATTAATACGATAGCCACCGGGAAATCACGCCTCTGACCCATGCTACACTTACTTCGACATCATTTGCCACCTTACCTCTTCTATATACACTATACACACAGTGTATACAAAACCCAAGACTTGCCGCGAATCATAGTCGACTATAAAGGGGCAAACACTTGGCAGAAAAAGGAACAGATCTGCCAAAACAGGGTGCACAGAACAGTATGGGTCTCGGTGTAAGCGATCTTACAACTGAATAGCAATTATGAATTTATAGAATAGCGTTAACCTAGCTGATATTCTATGGGTATATTCTATCTGTTGGGTATGGCTTTCTAAGCTTGCGGTTATGACGTTCGAAAAGCTTTACGTATCCATAGCCTTGCACTTCTAGTTTAAGCTATGTCCTGATCCGTTTCAAGCATTAGAAAACTCGCAATAGAAGTATTATGATTTCGAAGCTATGATTAGCAATCGCACGCCATATATACACTCGTTCTACTTTTTCTTATTTCAACTTAGTTTTAAGGTTAGAGAAAAAAAAAAGTTAGAAGCTAACGTTCATAGCCTATTTATATCATACAAGAGGTACTTGGGATTAAATTGGATCGGCGATCTTGAACTGAGTAAGCTTTCGGGCAACTGCCTAACAGACGTACGTTCCATACAGTATTGTTTGATACCGCTACCCCATATGTTGAGTTCCAGCCTGTAGTCAAATGCAATTGACTGTGAACAGTAGAGAGATGTGGCCTAATGTGGCGTTGATAAGCGGCAACCAACGGGAGCATAGAAAACCGGGAGTCGTGTCCAATTGAATTGCTACGATGGACGCATTTCATGGTCACCTGCTTCTAGACGTCGGTAGAGGTACTATGCCATGACAGGTTGTTCCCTAACACTGTGCTCATGGCTTTAAGCACCCTATAACAGAAGCATGTACATACCTAACCAGCATTAAATGCGGGCAAAAAGCAGTCGTCCGCACCTATATCATATCGTATTGTATGTTGGCCAGCATTACAGGTTATATTGCAATCCCACTTCGTTCGTGGTGCAGGGGATGCAGTGTTAAGGCTGAAAACCTGCACTGAACAGCTCTCTTTTCTACGAATTTATATCATATTTGTAGCTATTAGGTCAGGCAGATTTTCTAGCTGAGCTTGATCTAACTTACGTGTACGAAAAAAGATAATACAACGCACAACCTTCGGAGAGATACGATGGAATACAGACCCAGGTTTATTCATGGTACTGCATTTTTGACGATGCTCGATGAAGTACTCGGATGAAAAAACACGATAAAATGAGTGATACCATCATTTTTAGATTACAGCAACATCGTCATAACCATATCTGGGCCTTAATTATAGGCCAGTGATAGTGTTACGTGCGTCCGCATTGGTTTCTGACTGCCGCCTAGCAAAGAAGTATTCATGTAATAAAGATCTCTTTCAGCAATCAACCTAACTAAGAGTAAGTGCAGCCGTTTAGAGCTGAATTTTATATATGCTCGATTTTTGTATACTTGTATGCATATATAATTTTTAGCTCTTTTTTTAGCCTTTTTCTTCACTGCGAAATTCGAGCACCCCAGAACAAACTGTTTACATAACGTAGTTTTTTTCTCCGGATTTTAGCCTATCGGTGTAGTATACACTTCTGATATTTACACAACATAGCGCGTCACTCGAACCGACAGCGCACATACATAGACAGACCCCGCTATCCCCCGCATATACATCCATCAATATACGTACTTGAATTCTTGCCTATTACCATAATTTATATCACACAGAAGCGCTGTATGTCAACGTTCAAGCAAAGGGTAACGAAGTGCTTCCACTCGGCAGTGCACGACAGGTGCATTTTAGCTGTAGCCCATGCTGTCGACATGTAACACGCCCGGATCTTACACCGCGGACTGTTGTTGAAACAGTTGTTGAGTAAACACGATAACCCTTACGATGCCGGTTGGCTAAACGTGTCTCCCCCTGGTGAGCTGAAACTCGAACAATCTGCAACTCGATGCTCAACTACTGCTAGGTAGAAAGCCAAGGTAGTAGCAAAGGTCGAGAGCCAGCGTTGGCAAACAATCGTTGGGCAAAATCTTGGGAATGGTGGACAAAATATTGAGCTGTCTCTTAACGCACGTCGATAAACGTGTCGTTAAGCAGTGCATTAAATCCTGTACGCTGGATTCTAAATCAAGATGACCAAAGATAGGATAATAAGCACGAGAATGATAAATCGCCTCCAAAAGAACAGTGGAAAAGGAACTAGACAGATCCTGTGATCAATCGAATACGAGAGACCTGAGCTTAACTGCCAATCAGTAAAAAGTACGAGGCTAGATTAGTAGAGAAGAACGTTGAGTTCATTGAATAACGTACCGACAGAAGGAGAGACGCTATGTGAAATCGTTAACTTAGATGTTACGTTGCACATGAGTACAACCTTCTTGCGAATCCCGAATCCACGAAATGTCAACGCTGCAAATGTGCAATATCTCATGATTTGAACAGTCTTCCTGTCTATTTAGCTAGTAAAAATTTAATTGTTTTTCCTCGTGATTTCCCAAGATGTTACTGCCGCTCTGACACTGTCCTTCGCTCTCATTGGCGTTATAAGTAACCTGTTTCTTTATCGAAGTTTAACTTTACATTGTTAGCGAATCTGACTAAAAAAGTTTGATTAATAATAGAGACTATTGATTGATGAGCATTAGTGTAAACAGGGCCAGCAATTTTCAGTTTTTAAAAAACTACTATCGTGGCCAGCAGGCCTTTGAGGATCTCTCTTCAGTGCTGAAGATACACCGGTATTGCTTAACTGGCAGGCATGACAACTTACAACCTCGTAACGACTATGGGCTTTTTGCACAAACGGAGACAAATACGGGCAAACTAGAACAACACTAAAATCCGGCTATGCGATGGCTTTTGACTCTCATACGTGAATGTGGTTACTCAAAAAAAAAAAAAAAAAAGAAAAGAAGCACGTCAGATTTATGTACAACACATACTATCCGTGTTTAGAAGCACATAGAACAGGTTGAACCGACAAATGTGAAGAGGGGCTGCTGAGTTATTAGCTTACGAGGCAAAACAAAAAAACACTGCACTTAGTAAATCACACACGTCAACGTAAACGACGATAAATTCATCTGTGTTCACGTTATCGTTTTCCAGAAAAACCTCTACCTAGTAATTTGCACATTCGAATTTGAGACATGTAAATGTTAATGTGTTTGGCTCGTTTTCTGATGATGTGCTACTGCAGCTCCGGACATTAACATCGAAACACTCGTTTTTTTACATGAGCACATGGCGCGTATCGTACTAAACCTCGTATCTAATATGTAGATGGCTTTATTAAACTTCATCTAGCAAATATGAACGGCCACAGAACACAACATTCAAATCTCGCTTTTGTTTAGAACGCACATAAGTCAAACTGATCCGAGCAGATACCAACTTCAAAGCTTTTAAACCGCCAACTCGGCTGAAGTAAAGAACTTCAAATCATTAGGGACATACACAGCTTATGGGACACATCATGGCGATAGGTTAGCTAATAGCGCTATCTCACTGGAGAGGGGACGTTCACTATAATCGATAAGTTTGAAATTCAGAGCGTTTGAGGCACCTTCTACTTCTATTTTTGGCAAACATTTAGATGATGTTTTTGTAGCCACGATATAAATAGCATGTCCAAATGTGGCTGCAATCCAATGGGCTAGGAGGTTGCGTACTTTACATAGGGGTTTCATATCAAATTATAGGAATGGAAAAGCACAAGTACAACCGGCGCGAAGAAACTTTAACTCACTACACTTATCAGTTCATTTAAAGAAACAAGACGTCCTAAACGAGTATAAGTGATTTTTAGCTTAAGCCCTTTTACACGAAACGTTTTCCGTATCGTCTTTTCGGCCATGTTTTAGGACACCTGCCGGGAGGAATCTAGCCTAATTAACTTGGTACCCAGCAGACCTACACACGCAATAATAAGGTGACCTAAACACCTTCCTGTGGCAGTAGGGTAATTACTTTTCAGTTTATTTGAATTTTTCCATGTCATGTCAGTCACTAAATCAACCAAATGCCGATGGATACTAGAGCTTGTACTGCATAGAGTATAGAGAGTATACAGATAGCGGGTCAAACCTACTCTGCTAGTGAGACATCCATGAGGTTACGAGAGAATCCTTCGTCGGAGGGATTTGAAGCTGCGTTAGGATAGGGAGACATGAAAAATGATTACGCTCGTAATACACCAGTATTTACTGTAGCTAAAAACGGCTAGCCAACATAGTTTTAGTTCAACAAACTATCAGTCATCGAATGAGAGAAGACTGTGCCAAGAAGAACAGAATCGGCAGTAATGTTTATAAAATTTTACGATAAAAACCATTCCAGATGGGTGCACAAATAGCTTCCACGTTCATTTGAAGTCATAACGACAACATCAACAAACCAACTACTGCTTCAGTCCAAGTGCCTTATTTATTAACAGTTGACTTTCTGACTTAAGAATAACTTCACTTCTGATATGTGTGGCATTCCTTCTTTCAGATGTTACTCGGACTTCGCGTAGCTGCCAGAGCCGCATGCTACAAAACAAAAATTCTGCTATATTTTAACTTGGCAAAGAGCCTGACAAACAGGCAGCAAGTGGCAACAAAGGATGTCAAATCACAGATCAGACAAGCCTCGTGTAACAGGGAAAAGAGGAAGCTGGCTAACAAAAGAGTCTGTCCGGACACAGTTGACCTAAATCCAATGATTGCTCAGCTTTAGAGAGCAGGGTGATTTGACAGATTGGCATAGTCATTCCATGAAAATTGAGTTTGGATACGCTCCCCT